GGTCACTCACGGAGCCCATGCAGGTGTCCTTGACGTCCACCCAGATGGCGTCGGCCACGATTTCGGCCGGCTGGACATGGTAGAAGGCCACCACGCGGAAGGACGGGATCAGCTCGGCGCTGACCGGCAGGGTCATGATGACCACGCTCTGGCCACGCTCGCGCCGCTGACGGCCGGCCCGGAGGATGCGGCCCTTGCTCATGATCTGCGGGGTGGACAAAGGGAGAGTGGTCAGCGAGGTGGCCGGAGGGGCAAGGTGAGAGACCAGCTGGATGTCCGGGTGGTCAAGCGAGGGGTCGTGTGGTCAAGCGAGGGGTCGTGTGGTCAAGTGAGGGGAAAAGTGGTCAGTGGCCACCCAAAGGTCCAGGTGGTCAAGCAAGGGGACACATGGTGGTCAAGCGAGGGGTCATGCGGTCAGTGGCCACCCAGATGTCCAGGCGGTCAAGCAAGGGGACACATGGTGGTCAAGCGAGGGGTCATGTGGTCAAGCGAGGGGTCATGCGGTCAGTGGCTACCAAAAGGTCCAGGTGGTCAAGCGAGGGGTCAAGTGGTCAAGCAAAGGATCGTGTGGTCAAGCGAGGGTTCATGTGGTCAGTGGCCATCAAAAGGTTTGGGTGGTCAAGCGAGGGGTCACGAGCTCAGTGGTGGTCACCCAGATGTCCAGGTGGTCAAGTGAGGGGACACATAGTCAGTGGTCACCCAAAGGTCCAGGTGGTCAAGCGAGGGGTCATGTGGTCAGTGACCACCAAAAGGTCCAAGTGGTCAAGTGAGGGGACACGTGGTCAAGCAAGGGGATGTGTGGTCAAGTGAGGGGTCAAGTGGTCAAGTGAGGGGAAAAGTGGTCAGTGGCCACCAAAAGGTTCGGGTGGTCAAGTGAGTGGACACATGGTTGGTGGCCACATGCATGTCCAGGTGGTCAAGTGAGTGGACACGTGGTTGGTGGCCACCAAAAGGTCCAGGTGGTCAAGCGAGGGGTTGTGTGGTCAAGCGAGGGGACATGTGGTCAGTGGCCACCAAAAGGTCCATGTGGTCAAGCAAGGGGTCATGTGGTCAGTGGGCTGGGTGGTCAAGTGAGTGGACATGAGCTCGGTGGCTATCCAAGAGGTCCAGGTGGTCAAGCGAGGGGTCATGTGGTCAGTGGCCACCCAGAGTCCAGGCGGTCAAGGGAAGGGTCATGTGGTCAAGCGAGGGACATGTGGTCGGTGGTCACCTGGACATCTGGGTGGTCAAGCGAGGGGTCATGTGGTCAGTGGGCTGGGTGGTCAAGTGAGTGGACATGAGCTCGGCGGCTATCCAAGAGGTCCAGGTGGTCAAGTGAGGGGACACGTGGTCAAGCAAGGGGATGTGTGGTCAAGCGAGGGGTCATGTGGTCAAGCGAGGGGAAAAGTGGTCAGTGGCCACCCAGATGTCCAGGTGGTCAAGCAAAGGGTCATGTGGTCAAGTGAGGGGTCATGTGGTTGGTGGCCACATGCATGTCCAGGTGGTCAAGCGAGGGGACACGTGGTTGGTAGCCACCAAAAGGTCCAGATGGTCAAGCGAGGGGTCATGTGGTTGGTGGCCACACAAAGGTCCAGGTGGTCAAGCAAGGGGTCATGTGGTCAGTGACCACCAAAAGGTTTGGGTGGTCAAGCGAGGGGACACGAGCTCAGTGGTGGTCACCCAGATGTCCAGGTGGTCAAGTGAGGGGACACATAGTCAGTGGTCACCCAAAGGTCCAAGTGGTCAAGCGAGGGGACATGTGGTCAGTGGCCACCAAAAGGTTCAGATGGTCAAGGGAAGGGACGTGTGGTCAAGCAAGGGGATGTGTGGTCAAGCGAGGGGTCATGCGGTCAAGCGAGGGGAAAAGTGGTCAGTGGCCATCCAGATGTCCAGGTGGTCAAGTAAGGGGTCATGTGGTCAAGTGAGGAGACATGTGGTCAGTGGCCACCCAAAGGTCCAGGTGGTCAAGCAAGGGGATGCGTGGTCAAGCGAGGGGTCATGTGGTCAGTGGCCACCAAAAGGTTTGGGTGGTCAAACAAGGGGACACGAGCTCAGTGGTGGCCACCCAGAGGTCCAGGTGGTCAAGGGAAGGGTCATGTGGTCAGTGGTCACCTGGACATCTGGCTGGTCAAGCGAAGGGATGTGTGGTCAGTGGCCACCCAAAGGTCCAGGTGGTCAAGTGAGGGGACATGCGGTCAGTGGCCACCCAAAGGTCCAGGTGGTCAAGCGAGGGTTCATGTGGTCAGTGGCCACCCAAAGGTCCAGGTGGTCAAGTGAGTGGACACATGGTTGGTGGCCACCAAAAGGTCCAGATGGTCAAGTGAGGGGTCATGTGGTCAGTGGCCACCAAAAGGCCCAGGCGGTCAAGCAAAGGGACATGTGGTCAAGCGAGTGGTCGTGTGGTCAAGCGAGGGGAAAAGTGGTCAGTGGCCACCAAAAGGTTTGGGTGGTCAAGCGAGGGGACACATAGTCAGTGGTCACCCAAAGGTCCAGGTGGTCAAGTGAGGGGTCATGTGGTCAGTGACCACCAAAAGGTCCAGGTGGTCAAGCAAGGGGACATGTGGTCAGTGGCCACCAAAGGGTTTGGGTGGTCAAGCGAGGGGACACGAGCTCAGTGGTGGTCACCCAGATGTCCAGGTGGTCAAGCGAGGGGACACATGGTGGTCAAGCGAGGGGTCATGTGGTCAAGCGAGGGGTCATGTGGTCAAGTGAGGGGATGTGTGGTCAAGCGAAGGGTCGTGTCAGTGGCCACACAGATGTCCAGGTGGTCAAGCAAGGGGACATGAGGTCAAGCAAGGGTCATGTGGTCAGTGGCCACCCAAAGGTCCAGGTGGTCAAGCGAAGGGTCATGTGGTCAAGCAAAGGGTCATGTGGTCAGTGGTTTGGGTGGTCAAGTGAGTGGACACCAGCTCAATGGCCACCCAAACATCCAGCTGGTCAACCCGAATGACCTTCAATAAACCTGAATGACCATTGGTCAATCTGAATGACCATCAGCCAATATGAATGGCCATCAATCAACCCGAATGACCACCGGCTAACCCAAATGACCACTGATCAACTGGAATGACCATCGGTCAACCTGAATGACCATTGATCAACCTGAATGACCATTGACCGACGCAAATGACCATCAGCCAACTTAAATGACCACCAATCAACGCGAATGACCATCAGTCAACCCAAATGACCATCGGTCAACCCAAATGACCATCAGCCAACCCGAATGACCACCAGTAAGCCCAAATGACCATCGGCCAACCTGAATGACCATTGACCAACCCAAATGACCATCAGCCAACCCAAATGACCATCGGCCAACCCAAATGACCACCGATCAACGCGAATGACCATTGGCCAACCCATATGTCCATCAATCAACCCAAATGACAGCGGCCAACCCGAATGACCATCGGCTAACCTGAGTGACCACCGATCAACGCGAATGACCATCAGTCAACCCAAATGACCATTGACCAACCCAAATGACCATCGGTCAACCCAAATGACCATCGGCCAACTTGAATGACCATTGGTCAACCCAAATGACCATCAATCAACCCGAATGACCACTGATCACCCCAAATGACCATCGGTCAATCCGAATGACCATTGGTCAACCCAAATGACCATCGGTCAACCCAAATGACCACCGATCAACCTAAATGACCACCGATCAACCTGAATGACCATCGGTCAACCCAAATGACCACCAATCAATGCGAATAACCATCGGTCAACCTGAATGACCATTGGCCAACCTGAGTGACCATCGGCCAACCCGAATGACCACCAATCAATGCGAATGACCACCAATCAATGCGAATGACCACCGATCAACCCAAATGACCACTGATCAACCCAAATGTCCATCAATCAACCCAAATGACCACCGATCACCCCAAATAACCCCCGGCCACCCCGAATGACCACCGGTCACTCRCGGTCACTCACCAGGTAGGTGAAGTAGGGGACGGAGTCTCGGACGTTGTTGTTGTTGGTCCGGAGGTGGAAACTGACCGCTACGTTGTCCCCCGGCTGCACCTCGGTAGCGGTCACTCCCAGGTGCAGGAAGTTGCCCGAATTGTCCTGGCTGCGGTAGGCCCGAGCGGTCATCTGGCTGGAGGCCTGGCGCTCGGCCGGTAGCCCYGGCTGGGCAGTGCGGACCTGGCCGGAGGGACACAGGGGTAGCGGTCAGCGAGGAGGGTTTGGTCACTCAAGGGGTTTTGGTCATCCATAAGGTGTTGGTCACTACAGGGGTTTTGGTCACTATAGAGATCTTGACCACTACAGAGGTCATGGTCATCATGGAGTTGTGTTGGTCATCATGGAGATCTTGACCACTACAGAGGTCATGGTCATCGTGGAGATGTGTTGGTCATCATGGTGGTCTTGACCACTACAGGGGTCTTGACCACTACAGGGGTTTTGGTCACTAGAGAGATCTTGACCACTATAAAGGTCATGGTCATCATGGAGGTGTGATGGTCATCATGGAGATCTTGACCACTACAGAGATCGTGGTCACTACAGGGGTCTTGACCACTACAGAGGTCTTGGTCATCATGGAGTTGTGTTGGTCATCATGGTGGTGTTGACCACTACAGAGGTCTTGGTCACTACAGGGGTCTTGACCACTACATAGGTCATGGTCATCGTGGAGATGTGTTGGTCATCATGGTGGTCTTGACCACTAGAGAGGTCCTGGTCACTACAGAGGTCCTTGACCACTACAGGGGTCTTGACCACCATGGAGGTCTTGGTCATCCTGGAGATCTGTTGGTCATCATGGAGGTATTGACCACCCCATAGGTCTTGACCACTACCGAGGTCATGGTCACTACAGAGGTCTTGACCACAATAAAGGTCATGGTCATCATGGAGTTGTGTTGGTCATCATGGTGGTGTTGACCACTACAAAGTCTTGGTCACTACAGTGATCTTGGTCATCCTTAAGGTCTTGACCACCAAGGAGATCTTGACCACTACAAAGTCTTGACCACTACAGAGCTCTGGGTCAATCTTAAGGTCTTGACCACTACAGAGGTGTTGGTCATCCTGGAGATCTGTTGGTCATCATGGAGGTCTTGACCACTACAGGGGTCTTGGTCACTACAGGGGTCTTGACCACCATAGAGGGATGACCTTTGGTCATCCTGGTCAGTGGTCAATGTTGAATGACCAGGACAGCCCCAGGCCTTGGTCAGTCTCATGTCTTGGTCAGCCCCTTTGGCCACCATGGTCCTTGGTCACTCCGGCCATCTTGACCACCACTGCCACCTCCCTGGTGATGACCACAGAGTGACCACAGAGTGACCACAGAGTGACCACAGAGTGACCTTGACCATCTTTGGCCAGCACCGAGTGACCACATGTCTTGTCATCACTTTTGGCCACCGTGGTCACTCTGACCTTTGGTCATCTTGGTCCTTGGTCACTCCAGCCATCTTGACCACCACCACCACCTCCCTGGTGATGACCACAGAGTGAGTGACCACAGAGTGACCTTGACCATCTTCGGCCAACACCGAGTGACCACGACACGTCTTGGTCAGTCCTTTTGGCCA